GAGGTCGGTTCGCACGGGAGGCATTTCTAAATTATTATTTGGTGTGCTTGGTATTTGATTTGGCTTGTTTGAGGTAAGTAACATATCTAAACTTGGATTTGAGGGTAATTATCCTTGGGAACTATGTTATATGAGATGTATTGGAATGATGCACATGCTAGGTGATGGACGTGTGGGCGTGCACCGAAGTAATCATGATCTGAGTTGACTTTTATACTATTACCAGACTTGTTTTGCGATCATACCTTATTATATTTGTGTTTTCCCTACTTGTTTGATTATATGAGTTGTGATTCATCTTAGAAATTATGTTTAGACTATGTGCTTATTTCGTTGAGACCTAATAAGGCTATTTCTATTATTTTGAGCTATCTAACTTAACTGTAGTTATACACTCAATCATGATTCTTCATTTGCATATCATATCTCAGTCTCTGTTCATTATTCGTTGTTACATCAAACATTGTTGTTGTTTCCATATGTGGTACTGTATGGGTTGAGTGATATGAGATTGTGAGCCTTTGAGACTTAAGAGGTTGATGACGGAGGTAGGCCTTAACGTCGTGTTGAGAGTGATATTTGGATCGGGTTACACGCCGCAACAAGCCAAATTAGCTTTATTGTTATTTGGACTGGGTTGCACGCCGCAACATGACATATTGGCTTTATTGTTATTTGGATCGGGTTGCACGTTGCAATAGGCCATATTGGCTTTTGATTAGCGCTTGGGTAGGATCCGCCCCTCCGGAGTATGACGTGCCAGTAATGGACATGCACAGTGATATATACACGTGCTTTGGTGAGGAGATTTTAAACCAGCCACCCGTATAATGTTGAGTCATTGTGTGGATGAAGTGGAGCATTTGAGCCAGGCACCTTGGGTGCTGAGAGTGAGTGTACTTGATGATATCATTGTGACACTATTTTGACATGTAAATCTGATATGTAGGCATAGGATGTATTTTTCTTATGTTAGACGCTAATATGACATTTTTTATGACTTGACATGTATATTTGACATGTAGGCATAGAGATGTATTCTACCTCATGCTAAACGGTAATGTGACATTTGATAACTTGACATGTACATTGACATGTAGGTATATAGATGTATTTTCTCATGTTAGTTGGTAAACAAAAAGTCTTATCTGTTGTTGTGAATTAGAAAATACAGTTCTTTTTTATAAACTCATGTCTAAAGGATTTTCGTGGTAAGATTTGGCCTTTGAATGTTATACTTGAAAAGGATGTCTACTTTTCCGTAAATGTGAACGAGCTGAGCATAATATCTCTTGATTACCTTTATTGTCCTCATTATTTTATACGAGTTGTTTTTGGCCATTGGTGTTGGACACTGACCTTCGTCCGAGCTCGTCAGTATTTTCAACCTAAGGTTAGATTTGTTAATTATTGAGCACATGGGTTCGGTTATACTCATGTTACACTTCTACACTTTGCGTGCAGATCTTGGAGTTGATGTTGTTGTGCATGGAGGGAGTTGGCATCGAAGATGTTCCATTGCCCTTGGTAGTTTTCTGTTTATATATATTTCAATTAGATGTTATAATTTTGTTTTATACTAGCTTTGTAAATCTAAAGTCTTAGTAGCTCATGACTTGTTCTACCGATAATTGAGTTATTGTATAAAATTTAGTTATTTCACTTCTTGACTCTTATCTTTGTTATTAGAATTGTGCTGATTGTTATTTGGCTTACCTAACGGGTTGAGTTAGCTGTCATCACGACTAGGTGGATATTGGATCATGATAGCTTTAGCTTTTCATTTCATATTTTAAGACATTGAGTAGCCTAATTTGATGATTTATGACTGTCACACCTCCTTTTTCCGCCCCCGCGAGGGGTGAAGGAGTTTTTCCAATTAAAGGACAATCGAAACGGGATTTGTTTATTTATTTCAGAGTCGCCACTTGGGAGAGTTAGGGTGTCCCAAGTCACCAATTTAATCCCGAATCGAGGAAAAGAATGACTCTGTATTACAGTCCGCGAACCAGAAATCCGGATAAGGAATTCTGTTAACCCGGGAGAAGGTGTTAGGCATTCCCGAGTTCCGTGGTTCTAGCACAGTTGCTCAACTGTCATATTCGGTTTGTTTATCTGATTTTATACAATTATGAGCTCATGTGCAAGTTTTAACTTTTAACCGCTTTCGTCATTATTATTATATATTTTTTTTAAGAATTGCAACATCATGGAAATACATCTCCAACCACGTCACATCAATGCACCCGTGGTTGTTGGCACATTTCAACTCTGTTGAGATTTGGATTTGGGTCACGTAGATGTGCACCCGAGTTTTAAGAAAATTAAATTATTAAAAGGCGTGCCTAAAGCGACTAGCGTATCATTTACTTTGGGTAGGGCCGTGAAATTTTGCTAAACGGTTCATCCCGAAGTCTAAGCAATTTTAAAGCAAATATTTACCGAGGGCCCCACAATTTTGTATTTTTATTCGGTGAGACTCATCTCATTCTTATTTTTTAAAGGAATTTGCAACGTCATGGACATGCATCTCGGACCACGTCACAATCAATGTACCCGTGATTAGAGACACATTTCGACTCCGTTGAGATTTGGATTTGGGTCACATAAATGTGCAC